CAGAACCCAGAAGGGAAGGTTGAACGATATAAGGCACGACTGGTGGCAAAAGGGTACAGCCAGACATACGGCATTGACTACGATGAGACTTTTGCACCAGTGGCGAAGATGAGTACTGTTCGGACGTTGATTTCTCTGGCAACAAATGGTGGATGTGAAGAATGCATTTCTTCATGGAGATCTAGTGGAAGATGTGTATATGGAGATACCACCTGGATGTGGAACAGGACAGACAGTAGGTAAGGTCCATAGGCTGAAGAAGTCTCTGTATGGGCTGAAGCGGTCCCCTCGAGCATGGTTTGATAGGTTCAGGAGAGCCATGGTTGGTATGGGATACAAACCGATCAATGCCAACCATACTGTATTCTTCAGAAGAAGTAGGGGTCACATCACTATGCTGGCAGTGTATGTGGATGATATGATCATCACAGGAGATGATGAGAAGGAGATTGCTCAGCTCAAGGTAAGATTGAGCAAAGAATTCGAAGTGAAGGATCTGGGTCAGCTTCGATACTTCCTTGGGATAGAGATAACTCATGGACCTAAGGGGATTGTTCTCTCCCAGAGGAAGTATGTACTAGATCTTCTTGCAGAGACGGGGATGTTAGGGTGTAAGCTGGCTGCTACACCGATCGATCAGAGTTTCAGGCTAAGTGCTGAGGCAGGAGAAACTATTGATCGTGAGAGGTATCAGAGATTGGTGGGCAGGCTAATCTACCTGAGTCACACACGTCCAGACATCTCATATGCGGTAAGCATGGTGAGCCGCTACATGCATGACCCGAGGAAGGGTCATATGGATGCAGTATATCAGATATTGAGGTATCTAAAGGGTGCCTCTGGCAAAGGACTAAGATTCATGAGGAGTGGCCATGTGAACATTGAGGGCTACTGTGACTCAGATTGGGCTAACTGCGGAGATGATCGGAGGTCTACCTCAGGGTATTGCATATTTGTAGGAGGCAACTTAGTCTCCTGGAAAAGCAAGAAGCAATCAGTAGTGGCGAGATCAACAGCTGAAGCTGAGTACAGAGCCATGGCCTTGGGGGTTGCGGAGCTGATGTGGCTGAAGAACATGCTGGTGGAGCTGAACCTTGACCAAGGAGTCAAGATGAGTTTGTGGTGCGACAACAAATCAGCTATCAGCATCGCCAACAACCCAGTTCAACATGACAGAATTAAGCACATCGAGATTGATAGATTCTTCATCAAGGAGAAGCTGAACAGTGGGCTACTGGAGTTAGGCTATGTTCCAACTAAGGAGCAGGCTGCAGACTGCTTAACTAAGGGGCTTAGCTCAGTAGATCTAGTTAGAGGGTGTGACAAGATGGGCTTAATAGATATCTTTCGCCCATCTTGAGGAGGAGTGTTGAGAATGTAATGCAATTAAAGAGTTTTAGAGGACCTTTGTGTAAACGTGTGTGTAAGGCTATATAAGCCAACAATTCTATCAATGAGAAACTAAAAAGCCCTAATTTTACTACAATTGCTAACAGAATCATTACCGAAAGACGTAAAACCAATTAATGCTATTTCAGAGGATTCTAAAGCATACTATGGTCGAAGAGGGAGAATTGGGCCTAGCCCCAACAAACAGTAGTATACAAGAAGCCCTTCTCAAAGGAGGGACCAGAGGGACCAGAGATGACCAAATGCCTGCTTGCCCAAAAATATGGGCATTTCCTTTGAGATTATGGACCATAGAAATAGAATAATGTCAAACCTAGAGCAAGATGACATGCTAATTTGTGACTTCACATTCATTCCCCATTTCTTTGAACTACGGCCATCTATTTTTTTACTGTTCTCATTTCTTATTTTACTAAAAATGCTTATAGATTATTAACCTCCTTTACAAAAAATAATATGCAGAAATAATAGCTGAATATTTAGACGTTTTGGTATTATTTGAGTTGTCAGAAAATAATTAGCCTATAGAAACAACAGTTTGATTTAGTTATCTTTGTTTCAGCAGAAAACTCATATACAGGATGTATGTGTTGGATTTAATCTAATAAATCTATTTGTTGGCACATATGATTAATCAATGTGTATTGCTATCTTTCAGGATAACCCACTAAAGTGATCAATTAAGTTGGGTTAATTTGGTATTTAAATAAGCCATGGGGTTATATGTGCAGATACCAGGTTGTAATTGTAATTTATTGAGGGGCTAAATTACAAAAGTACAACATCTATAAATAAGGGGTTATGGTCCCTAACCTAGGGTTACATTCTCTAATTCTCTACACCCCCATCTAGCTAGAGAAATTCGGTTTTAGAGAGAACCCTAAGGTTAGAAGATCCAACACCCAAAATCAAGATCAAGCAATGGATTCAGGTATAAGCTTCCGCTCTTTTAGATCCTTGTTAATCTCTTTGAATTAATCATGGCTATATGGTTTTAGATCTCAAGTTTTATGATGTAGATCTAACAAGTGGTATCAGAGCCACCTTGATTAATTCTTAGGGATTTAAGTTTTATTGGGTTTTTGATCTTAAATCTCTGGTTAAAGATTCAATTTTTGGGTTCGGATGAACAGTAATGTTCTCGGATGAACAGTAACGAATTTTTTTTTCGGATGAACAGTAAAGTATTTTTTCCCGGATGAACAGTAAAGTATTTTTTCCCGGATGAACAGTAAAGTATTTTTTCCAGATACATCGAGATCGCTCTCGGGGTATTCTTGGATTATCACAAAAGAGCTATATCGATAAGGTACTTAAAAGGTTTGGCATGCAAGATTGCAGACCAGGTGATACCCCTGTTGCTAAAGGAGACAAGTTTAGTCTCAATCAGTGCCCTAAAGGTAACCTTGAAATTCAGGAAATGCAGAAGATTCCTTATGCTTCGGCTGTAGGAAGTCTAATGTATGCTCAGGTATGTACGCGTCCGGATATTGCGTACATTGTTGGGATGTTAGGCAGATACTTAAGCAACCCTGGTATGGATCATTGGATAGCAGTCAAAAGGGTTATGAGGTATCTTCAGAAAACAAAAGATTACATGCTCACATACAGAAAATCAGAGAAATTAGAGGTCATTGGGTATTCGGACTCTGATTTTGCTGGATGCCAAGATAGCAGGAAGTCTACATCAGGCTACATTTATATGTTAGCAGGAGGAGCTATATCATGGAAAAGTGTCAAACAAACACTAGTAGCTTCCTCCACTATGGCAGCAGAATTTGTAGCTTGCTATGAGGCATCCAATCAGGGAATATGGCTGCGAAATTTTGTCACGGGACTGCGCATTTTGGAAAATGTTGAAAGACCACTAAGGTTATATTGTGACAATAAATCTGCAGTAATGTATTCCAATAACAACAGGAGCTCAACTAAGTCAAAACATATTGACATTAAGTTCCTGGTTGTGAAAGAAAGGGTACAGAGTGGACAGATATCCATAGAGCACATTGGGACAAACTCCATGATAGCTGATCCTCTTACTAAGGGATTGCCACCTAAGGTCTTTCATGAGCATACTGCTCATATGGGTGTGGTATTATTTGAGGATATTATGTTTTAGTGGGAGTTTGTATTTGTGGTGCTTTATGTTTGGTTGTATTGTCTGATCAGAATAAAGTATTCAGTTAAGACACTCTGTTACATTATGTTTGGTTTTGACCTCACTAAGGAGGACCAGTTGAAAATAGACATGTACTGATCACATTGCATGTAATTTTCATGCTGCACATCCATGATTGATCTATGTCGTTTGATTGTATTGGTATATGTGACCATTGATGGGTCGAGTCACGATAAATGTGACGAAGGCCGCTTTGATCCTATATTGATATAGTCAATGGACGAGATTGTTCGGAAATACCATTTCAGTGATAGCAATTTTTGAGCTCATAAGGTTATACACAGTTTAAGGAATCATATGGTGCCCAAGTGGGAGATTGTTGGATTTAATCTAATAAATCTATTTGTGGGCACATATGATTAATCAATGTGTATTGCTATCTTTCAGGATAACCCACTAAAGTGATCAATTAAGTTGGGTTAATTTGGTATTTAAATAAGTCATGGGGTTATATGTGCAGATACCAGGTTGTAATTGTAATTTATTGAGGGGCTAAATTGCAAAAGTACAACATCTATAAATAAGGGGTTATGGTCCCTAACCTAGGGTTACATTCTCTAATTCTCTACACCCCCATCTAGCTAGAGAAATTCGGTTTTAGAGAGAACCCTAAGGTTAGAAGATCCAACACCCAAAATCAAGATAAAGCAATGGATTCAGGTATAAGCTTCCGCTCTTTTAGATCCTTGTTAATCTCTTTGAATTAATCATGGCTATATGGTTTTAGATCTCAAGTTTATGATGTAGATCTATCAGTATGTACTCATTCTTGTATTATAATATTTTGTCATCAATTTCCCTATCTTAAATGAGATATCATTTTTTCGTCACTTTAATTAATTATCTTACTCATGACTCACATTCAATCTATGCATACTTTACATCGTGCACTTACTTTCTTTTCTTTGGTCAATGAAGTTAATTTCTCATTCACCATGAGCAAAATAGTACATTCTCAATCTCAGGCATGCCTAGATTACACAAATCCCTACTCAAAGGGGTTATACGTGCACTTATTAATACGATTGATTTATTGTTCTCCTCTCCATCTCTGTCATGCAAGATTTATGTACTTTAGAATAAGAAATGTACCGTGCCTAAGATATAGTGTTCATGCCGAAATTGCTTTCGTACACTTTTATCTGCTTATAAACTATCTTAATCAACCTCAAAAAGACTGAAACCTAAGAATCAGAAACTTGCTAAGTTTTGGACCGATATAGTAATCACTAGGTTCAAGACCAAATCTCTTAACTCTAACCTAGAACTCTACATATTTTGTGTTCTTCATAGCCTATTGCAATCAACTGAAGGCATGCATGCAAGGTGCCAACTTGTAGAGCTTCAAATTCTACATAGATTTGAAGCTAAAGATCCACAAAAGATTAAGACATGTTACCTAGAGTCAGAGAAATCAGATGCAGCTTGGCCTTCATCTTTGCCTATAAATTCAAACCAATATTGCAAGAAACAAGCAATCAAAGCAAACAGACACGAGCATTTCAGAACTCATGACCTCAAAGACTCTTCTCTTTGCAGTTGTCTTGTTGATGATTGCTTCTGCATCCTCAGCACAAGCTCAGCTCCTTGGTCTCAGTCAGCTGCTCATCAATGGCACAGTTCATTGCAGCGTTGGCCCTGGTTCAGCCAACACTGCTGTGTTCCCAAGTAAGATTGTACCGAAATCTCAAATTTCTACTATGAAAGTACTAATGCAGATTTATCTCACATATATGAGGCATATAGTCATAGCTATATTTGAATAAATCATATCTTGTAGATGCACACAATTTCTGGTTCATGTTGAAATATCTGCCTAATAACATCCACCTCACCATGTTCTCATGAAAATGATGTTTTCTTGAGGAAATTAGGGTCTTGCCTATATTATTGTAAGGGTATAGTAGTATGATACAGAAGATGATTATTGTTTGTGGAGCTTGACGTACATGAAGCATATCTAGCGCCTGTCAAAACTCCAAAATTATGGTGAGAGTAATAATTTTATACTAACATGTTCATGCTGGTTGAGGGCCTTTTTTATGGGCCGAAACCTCAACATATAAATTTTTTCTTAAATCTGCGTTCAATATGTGAGTAGGGAGATCTAAGTTGGATTACTGTAGTACTATGTCAAAAGACTATTCCACCACACTAAAACTCCAAAGTTGAGGTGATGACTGAGGGTTATGATTTTATACTAACAAAAACCAAAATTGAACCCCTACAAAATTGCACCCCAACAGAGGTCACATGGTATTTTTGATAATTTGATAATATAGTTGGAGATGTATGATACGAAAACATCGCAGCTTGGACTCCCCTATTTGAAACAGTATAATTGGAGATGCATTATTTTTCCAGTTACAAAGTAACCAAACTCACTTCACGTTTCAGATGCTGGAGTGCAGCTACAGTGTGGAAGCAATGTAGTTTCAACTACAACTACAAACTCGAACGGAGCCTTCAGTATGCAACTGAGCTTCATATATAACTTCTCTTTTGTCGACACTCTTGAACAATTGCAAGCTAGTAGTCACAACTCCTCTCTCCACCTGCGATGCTCCGCTCCCAACTAGTGGACTGCTTCAGTCAGCTCTCCAACTGCTTAATGGTGGAGGACTCATTGGAGGGCTTCTTGGTCTTATCACCAACATAGTTCCCTCTGGCTTCTCTCTTGTTCAGTAACTCAACTGAGCTTGGCGCTTGGGTTCTTATTAAAGTATGTTGATGAATTAGTTTGAACTTGTGTTAATGTTGGCATAGCAAATGGCTGTTGATTCTCGTGCAACAGCAGTTATTGTTGTGAATGAAAAACAGAGAAGAAGAAAGAGGATTTCTGAGGGGCTCCGGTAATGGGTAAGTGAGTTTTCTTTTTGATTTTCGTTGTGTTTTCTCAAGGAGAATGATCCTCCTTATATAGGGGCTAAACCCATCATCTCTACCCCTCAGATCCGCCCCCATGAGAGATTTTCTCTCAACCACCCATGATTCACGTTCTCCACCATTCTCTCAACAGAGAAACAGTGGTTGATTTGGTCATCAATGACCAAGTCAAGCTAACATCTCCCACTTGACCAAATTAACCAAGTGACATGCCTCCCACTATCCGTGAGATCGGATGTTTCTGCTTACCATTACTCCCACTATCCGTAGAGAGTAACTCTTATTTCATTATTCATGAAATTTTACTTGGACTTATTTATTCCTAAGTCCCATCAAACTTACATGTTTGATAAAAGATTCCGCTGGTATTCCTTTTGTCAAAGGATCAGCAATCATATCTGTAGTAGGGATATAAGTCACTTTGACTTCTCCCTTTTCTACAATATCTCGAATATAGTGATACTGGATCTCAATATGTTTTCCTTTGGAGCTATTCGCGCCACTATTGATTAAGCTAATTGCTGCTTGATTATCACAATAAATATCAATAGGTCATTCTAACAAATTGAGATCAAGATCAATCAAAAACCGTCTTATCCAGACAGCATGTGTAGTTGCCATACTACAAGCTATATATTCAGCTTCTTGCGTATATCTAGCAACACACCCTTGTTTCTTGCTACTCCAAGAAACAGCTCCTCCTCCAAAGATAAATAAGTGTCCCGAAGTGGACTTTCCATCATCTTTATCACCTCCGAAATCAGCATCGGAATAACCGAGGAGTTCAAGCGAATCAGCTTGATAAACTAATCTATGAGTCAATGTACCTCTGATATACTTCATAATCCTTTTAACAGCTTCCCAATGTGCTGGTCCTGGATTACTTTGATATCTACTGACTAGACTCACAGCATAAGCTATATCAGGTCTGGTGCACAACATTGCATACATCAAGCTTCCAATTGCTTGAGCATAAGGAACATCTAATGGCTTCTGCCCCTCTCCAGGGCTTTGCTCTTTACATAATCTCTTTCCCATAACCAACGGAGTTGGTGCCGGATTGGAATTCTCCATTCCAAACCTTTTAAGAACTGATCTTAAATATTTTTCTTGGTTTAAACTTAGCATTCTAGACTTTCTATCTCGAATTATTTGAATTCCAAGAATATATGATGCATCTCCCATGTCTTTCATCTCAAACTTTTCGCTGAGATCTGCCTTGGTTTTATTCAACATTTCTATGTCATTTCCAGCGAGCAATATATCATCCACATATAAGGATAATATAGTAAACTTGCTCCCACTTTTCAAGACATATACACAATTATCTAATTTATTTTGAATAAAACCAAGTTTAGTGACTGCATCATGAAATTTAAGATACCATTGTCTAGAAGACTGTTTTAAACCATATAGAGATTTCATTAATTTATAAACTTTATGTTCCTGTTCATTTACCTGAAAACCTTCAGGTTGTTGCATATATATTGCTTCCTTCAACTCTCCGTTAAGGAATGCAGTTTTAACATCCATTTGGAATAACTCCAAATCAAGATATGCAACAATAGCCAAAATAATTCTAATGGATGCAAATTTAGCTACAGGAGAATACGTCTCCTGAAAATCTATTCCTGCCTTCTGGTTATAACCTTTGGCAACTAACCGTGCTTTGAATTTATCAATAGATCCATCAACACGATATTTCTTTTTGAGCACCCATTTGCATCCTATGGCTTTCCTATTTTCTGGTAGATCACATAACTCACATACTTTATTCTTTTCTATGGAATCAAGTTCTTCTCTCATAGATTCTAGCCATGAAGCTGATTCATGCGATTTCATCGCATCAGAAAAAGTTAAGGGATCTTGTTCTTCTATATTTGTATCTACCGAAAAACAGGATGACTCACATGAATACAAATAGTAATCATCCATCCATGAAGGTTGTGTTCTTGGTCTTTTGTTGCCTACAACCGGTTGATTAGGTACATTATTTTCCATAGGTATTTCATCATTTTCAAGGTTAGGTTCATTCACAATATCAGGGTCATTAGTGGGAACAACACTGTAATAATCATCATCTATTACAGTTAGAGGTTCTGTTTCCTCTTGAACTTGTTCCTCTTCCTCTAGATTCTCTAGAAATGTAGCATCTCTGCTTTCAATGACTCCTTTTTCTTTATTGTAGAACTTATAACCTTTTGACTTTTCTGAATACCCTATGAATCTACACTTTATTGTTTTAAAATCCAACTTATCTCTAAGTTGACATGGAATGAGAACATGGGCTATAGATCCCCACTTCCTGAGATGACTCAAATTAGGTTTCCTCCCATTCTATAATTCATAAGGTGTAGATATAACTGATTTGGTGGGAATTCTATTTAAAATGTAGTTTGTAGTTAACAATGCTTCTCCCCAAAAGTTTTTAGAGAGACCAGAATGAGACAACATGCATCTAACTACATTTAATAATATTCTGTTTTTTCTTTCAGCAACACCATTCTGTTGTGGCGTATACGGCATTGTTATATGCCTTTTAATTCCATGCTGAATACAATAACTTTCAAATTCTTTAGAATTATATTCTCCACCTCTATCAGTTCTCAAAATTTTGATTTTCAATCCAAGTTGGTTTTCAACTTCTGTCTTATATCTCTTAAAGCACTCAAAAGCTTCTAATTTTTTGGATATAAGATAGACGTGTGCAAACTTGGAATAATCATCTATAAAAGTAATAAAATATTCTTTATTACTATGAGTTTTGACACTTAGGGGACCACAAATATCCGAGTGTATCAACCCTAAAAGTTCATTGGCTCTGTGTCCGCCAATAAAAGGTTTTCTAGTCATTTTACCAGTTAAACAATATTCACATGGTGGCAATTGAACATTAGATAGTGCAGGAAGTAAGTTTATTCTGATAATTTCTTTCATTTTTGAAACACTAGCATGTCCTAGTCTAAAATGCCATAATTCAGATTCAGAAATATAACAGGACAAGTAGTTCAAATTCAAAATTTTATTATCAGAATTATTACAAACTACTGGAAGAATGCATAATTCATGCTCGGGCACATATTTACCCATAGCATACACTTTATTATTCTTGCCTATAGAAACCCTGTTATTATAGAACCTCACTTCCAGTCCTTTCTTCATCAAGCTGGGAACAGAGATCAGATTGCGTCTAATTCCTGGCGCATAGAACACATCTTTGAGGACAAGAATGCTATCCCCAAGATCCAATCTATACGAACCAATACCTTCTACACCGAGATAGGTATTATTTCCCATATAGATTCTCTGTTCTCCCTTCTTCAGCTCGGTGAATTCTACGACTCCATTCTTGTCCTTTGCGATATGCCTAGTCGCACCGGAGTCGATCCACCAACCACTGATATCCGTCATCACAGCATTACATTCCGTCACACCGACGAATTCTCTTTTGCTAGTACCCCCTTGTTCTGGATGCTTATAGCCTCCCTTATTCTCCTGCTTTTCACCTTGTGGGCAATTGGGTTTGAAATGCCCGAACTTTCCACAATTGTAGCAGGCTCCGCGGGGTACTTTCTTTCTCTTGAACTGCTGCGATTTACAATCATTTTATTTATATGCTCTACGACATTGTCTCCCTCTTGCATACGACAAGAATTATACTTATGCAAGAGTAGTTGGATGTTAACTTCAGAAGCAGTGTCGTATTTTTCTTTTATTGCATTCCACATATCCATGGAAGTTTTATAAGTTTCAAAAACTTTGATTAAATTATCTTCCATGAACATGAGCATAAGACTTTTCGCCTTTTTGTCTTTCGACTTCCACTGCTCAAACCCTTTCTTTTCTTCAGGGGTTGATTTATCAGTAAGGGTTGGAGCAGTGGTTTCGATTATATCATCAATGTTATCATGAATAAGAACATATCCTATTTTTCTATGCCACATATCATAATTACTGCCATTAAATTTGTTGATTTTTTCTAGTTCTGATAGAACGAGTTTACTAGCCATTCGGTAAAGAACTAAAACTAAATTCAATTTTAAATATTTGTATAAGGTTGATATTTTGACAATAATACTAAAAATAAAGTTAGATAAATAAATAATTAAATTAAAATGAACCTGATTTTTGTGAGTTGAGAAACGAAACTCCAATTTGAGCGAGATTGTCACTCAGCGGTGTAGATTGGATCAGCACTTGTCGAAGTTTTGTCGTCATTTCTGACTGGATTGGAGATGATCAAGTTGGAACAACCGGGCCAACAGACAAGCACAGATTCAAGGCCCAATTTATGTTAATGCAGATGTATACTTTAAGCTCACGTGCTTTTGATGGGAGAGAGACTTGAAGATGTGTTAATAGGACATTTGTAGGACCATTGAACAATAGGGATGTTGATTCTTGGACCAGTAAACAAAAGAGATATAGGCTATATAGTAGGACGGAAAAAAAATGAAAGACCTGCTAGTTGGATGTAGACATGTGGGTGTAGGTTAGCTTGTAGGTGTAGGCCTGTGGCTATGAACAAAAAGTAGGACAGAAAAATAAAAGAGAGTAGGCTGTGAACAATAGGACCGAAAAATAAAAGAGAGTAGGCTTTTCTTCTTCAAAAAATTGCTGCTGGTTCTTCTTCTTCAACCGAACTTCTCTTCTTCTTCAACAATAGTCTGGACCGATGGCTTTCAACTAAACTCGGCTTCTCTCTACTCTTCAAAAAAAAAAATCTTAAT